TACTACACATTATGTTTCTGGGTTTAGATTTAGAGGGCATGAAGGAATTTTAGGAAGCATCAAGGAAAGCAATCACAATCACAGTGAGAACTTTGCAGCCAGGATTGTGACCCCTATTGTATCTTTTGGTTTGTTTCTTTTACTCTGTTACTTCCAGTCCATTAACGTTCTATGGCAAAGCGAAAAATACTATTCTTTATAGAATCTTTTATTGCTTATAGGAAAAGTCCCATCATGCCAGCATGGCATTCATGTTTTCTTCTACCATGTTCATTGCATGCCTGAACTCCAAAACCATTTGGTTCATCGTATTTTATTGAATTACTACCATTCACCTCACCTCTTGATAACTGAATTTTTACTTAACTTTCAAAAGTCCAGTTCAAATTCTACCTTACACGTGAAAACTTCTTCAGTATTAACTCCCTCAATCAAACTTCCTCAAGCAGATTAAACTCCCCCCACCCACCTTTTTTCAGTTTTTTTGCTGCCTATCTCATTAGTCTATTTGGGAGGATTTCTATTGTTCTTCCAGCCACTCCTTACTCCAAAAAACAAGATCACTAGTTCCTTCAGTTCAGAGAATGAGACTTGTTTAACTTTGAACCACCCTCCAACATATAATACTTGAGAAGTACAGAAAATATCTTTGCTGAAACACTAAGTATATAATCTCACTTTTGTCTTGACCTTGAATCAGCAATAATGTTATTCATCTCACAAAATCCCTGTTGTGATTAAACTATTGTGCAGAGAAAGAAATTAAGTCTGTGAATTTAGTAATATCTCCAAGGCCAAAGGACATAGTTAATTATATATAACTTTGAATTCTGGATTGATAGTTCAGCACAGTGTTACACTACCACTTTCAGCTCATTTGAGTCCCAAAATATAGTAATATTTATACGTCTGCTAAACATAGAAATATATTATTGACTCATCATGCCATGATTTTAGTTGTGAGCCCAGATATTATCCTAGGAATTTTTATTTAAACTTTTATTTCCTGATTCAACTAATGTATTCTTATTGAATTTAATTTTATTTTTTTATAAACAATTTAAGGGAACCATTTACTTTTTTCCACTCTTAAACCACATTTTATTATTCTGCCTCACTATACTGCCTAATAGAATACCACATAGCTTTACAGTCGTGAGCTTTCCTCTTCTTCTTTTTTTAACTTGCCATTTGCAACAACGTGGATAGAACTAGAAGGTATAGTGCTAAGAAGGACAAATAGCATATGACTTCACTCATGTGAAATTGAAGATACACAACAGATGAACATAAGGGAAGGGAAGCAAAAATAATATAAAAACAGGGAGGGAGACAAAACATAAGAGACTCTTTAATATATAGAACAAACTGAGGGTTGCTGTAGGGGTTGTGAGTGGGGGGATGGGCTAAATGGGCAAGGGGCATTAGGGAGACACTTGTTGGGATGAGCACTGTGTGTTATATGTTGGGGATGAGTCACTGGATTCAACTTCGAAATCATTATTGCACTATATGCTAATTAACTTGGATGTGAATTAAAAAAATAAATAAGGGAACCATTTAAATTTTGCTCCTTTTCTAATCGTTTCACATGTTCTCTATGTAATGAAATCACAAATGAATAAATATACTCTCTTCCAACAGGAAGACAGTGATAAAAGTCCTAAAAAGCCCTACAAATAATGTCAGGTTATTATTCATCAAAAGAAACTATTGTTCCTTTCACCTAGATTAAAAAAAAAATTGTATTAGAAAAGTTTTGAAAACCCTGGCATATGCAATATTTTGTGGTTAGAACTGTTGAATGTTTATCGGCCTATGTGAAAGGAATTCATCCTAAAGTCAAATTATTAAGGTAGAAATAGCCAGATCATGAAACAAATCTGCATAATTGATATGACTGCCTTCTTAGCAATCATGGCAGAAGATACAAAGATAGATTACAGATATAAAATTAACTATGGCATTATCCCTGTAGATTTCCTTAAAGAACTCTCAAGGAGAGATAAGCAAGTGTTCCCTGAGTTAGTTCATGACTTGTTTCCTATGACTGGGAATCCTTATCTTATAAAAACCTTTGCATCTAAAATTTTATTTTAATTTGAGGTCTATAGAAAGACTTAATATAAGAAACAAATACACCCTAATTAATCTCTATCACATTTTCATACTTACCTCACCATTTTGGGGGGTATATCCCAGATAAAAGTGTCAAATATCTATCAATATAACTGATTTCTGTTTCTGTAATATTTTCTGTAATATTTTTCTGTAATATTTTCAACAACAGCAATACAACAGTTCGGTAGATTCAGCAAGTAGAAGCAATAGCAGCCAATGAATTCTGGGACTGGGCTGGATGGGCAGTAGGTAGCCACAGACAATAGTATATATTTTATGAACCTATAAAAATTGCTTTACTATAAAAAAATGGTCAACACATGAACATGAGAATATGTTGATACTGAGTCAGGTCTTTTGTCTTATATCCAGCAAAATAAACTTTTAGTGATGAGTGATAAAAAATATACGTAAAACCTTGAATTGTAACTTGTTCTACAAGTATTCTGCAAGATGAGCAAACATTTCTAATAAATTTTAACTTGATAATTGAGGGATGTCTTGCAATACAAGTAGTATGTGATGTTACATGATCATAACTGAGCCAATTGTTCCTCTCTCTCTCTCTCCCCCTCTCTCTCTCCCTCTCTCCCCTCCTGGAATTGTGGGTGATTGTCTCCCATGCTCAGATGCTTGGTCTCAGGATGTGGTTGGTGTTTGGAAGAAACAAATAATTTTCAGAATGTTGGAAGGTGCCCAAAACTGGCACTGGTGTATTTTTTGTCACTTTCAAGCACCTATGGACAGTCCTTTGCTTTTCCATACAAAAGTAAGTTTAGGAATGCTTGGTGCTTCATTCTAGGTCAGGCTGCCTGCACATATATAGACCCTTTCATCTGCTGCCTTGTTGTCAGTTACATTAAATACAGTATATGAAAAGAGTTTATTACTACTGTGCTGTAGTCAACATTCATGCAAGTGTGTACAATGGCCCCCATGCAGAAAAAAGATCAAAAGGAAAGGTGGTAAGAAGGAGATGATTATGGTGGCAGTTGAGAAGGAAATCATCATTGAGTAGTACAAAGGAGGTATAGGAGTGGCTGAAATTGCAACATTTTATAAGAAGTGTATGTCTGCATCTCATCAGCAGAAGAGGAGGAGAAAAAGGTAAAGGAATCCCCACTGCAAATGAAATTGGGGGGATGTGTAAAATGTGGGAAACAATGAAAAATTTTGTACAAAGACCACCCGAATAAGGCTATAGCAGTGCAAGCGATGAATCTGTTTAATGACAATCCAATGTTACATTTCTGCAAAATCCTTAAAAGAAGTCAAAATCAAGTGTCATTGGATAGGTTCCTTGTTAAAGCTGCATGAAAAGAAAAAGATTCTTTTGAACCAATAGATGGCAGTGATTCCGTTAGTGACAGTGAGAGTCATCCTATACAATACCCTCCTATCTCTTAACTCCCTCACGACAGCCACAAAGGTTTTCAAATGTAAGTGCAGGTTAATTTGTTTTTCTTTACATTTTGCATTTTCTTTATTATTTTGTATTATAATACACCATTGTAATCATATTTATATGAATAGTTTGGATTGTGGGATGAATAATCTGAGTTTCCATGATTTCTTAAGGGGAAATTCACTTAGATGTATATGTGTTTTGGATTGCAAGCATGAATTATGCTCGCAAACCAAGGTTTTACTGTAATTCCTTATAGCATCACCCACTTCTAGATTTTAACATTGACACTCAGTTCTCAGTCTGTTTATTTAGTCAGTATATATTTATCAATATTCTTTAAATTTTTTAAACAGATTAATTGCATTATAATTTATATACAAAAATCTGCACGTATTTAACATATATGATTTGATGAGTTTGGACATTAGCATACACATATGAAACCATCACCACAGTTAAGATAATAAATGCGCCCAACACTTCCAAAAATTTTATGTGTCCCTTTTTGTGTGTGTGGTTAAGAACATTTAACATGAGAACTACTCTCTTAATAAATTTTTAAATGCATAATACAGCGTTGTTTATTACAGTCATTGTACCAGATAGCAGATTTCTGAAACTATATGCCAGTTGAACAAGTCCTGATTTTTTCCTTCTTTCAGCCTTAAAATATGGTAACCATAAGATGGTTCTATTCTATTCTATTCTATTCTATTCTATTCTATTCTATTCTATTCTATTCTATTCTATTCTATTCTGTATTTTCTGCTTCTATGAGTTTAAATATTTTAGGTAGCAAATGTCAATGGAATCATGCAGTATTTGTCTTTCTGTCTGGCCTGTTTCATTCAGCGTAATGTCCTTCAGTTTCATATATGTTGTAAAAAATGTCAGGATTTCCTTATTTTTTAAGACTGAGTAGTATTCCACTATATGCATATACCACATATTTTCCCACTTCTCTGTTAATGGACATTTAGATTGTTGAATATCAATTGACTGTATATATGCCTGGGTTTAATTCTGGTCTCTATTCTGTTCCATTCATCAATATCTCTGTCTTTATGCCAGAATTGTACTGTTTTAATTACTATTAACTTTGTAATATGTTATATGAGAGTATAGAGAAATAATTTATAAGCAAAATATGTGAGTTCTTCATGGTGCAGGTCACTTAACTGGGCTCATTAAGCCTATTAAAATAATATATAGATGTATAGAGATAATAAAACTGCAGTTTATTTTAAAATTTATTCACTGGGACGCCTGGGTGGCTCAGTAGGTTGGGTGGCCAACTTTGGCTCAGGTCATGATCTCACAGTTCATGGGTTCGAGCCCTGGGTCGGACTCTGTGCCGACAGCTATCTCAGAGCGTGGAGCCTGTTTCAGATTCTGTGTCTCCCTCTCTTTCTGACCCTCCCCTTCTCATGCTGTCTCTCTCTCTCTCAGAAATAAATTAAAAAATAAAATAAAATAAAATAATCTATTCACTTATTTTCACAGAAACACAATACCTGTACTTGATATTCTTCATGCAGTAATTTCTAGTTTGTATTTTTTCTTTGAAATCCAAAAATTGCTTTCTAACCTATAGATTGACATTTGCAATTAGAGGGCCTCAAGAACCACAGAAACAAAGTTTCCAAAATTGAAGTCACTAACTTCCCTGGAAAACCAGCTTCTTCTTTGTCATTCTGAGACACACTAAGTGATAATGTCAGCAGGAACTGAGACATCAGCTCTGACTTCTCACATGCCTAACAATCACTAAGTTCTGTTAATAGAGCATGAAATATTATAAGGATAAAAAAATTCAGCAAAATCCTTCTGCCCAGATTAGATTATACAGATACAGATTAGATTAATACAGAGAGATAAACAGAGATATAGAGAAAGTAAACAGCAGATTTAAGAAACAAATATCTTAGGCAAAATGCTACAATGAGGTGTGTTAGGGAAAAATGAAAAAAATAAAATGGCTTAGTGAAATTATTTATGCAACTAAAAAAATACACTTATTAGGCAAATTCCAAATCATATTATGTGGTTCTTTCAGTTATAAACTTTTTGATCTTTTCAATCAAAGGATATATCATTTTAAGTTTATGGCATTGCTTTGATTTATTTATTCTTAAACTTTAAATGCAAGATAGGAACATAAAAGAAAAACAGATTAACATAGCTATTTTTTAAAATGTTTTACTTTCCTTTGTTGAGGTTTCACAGCAAGAGTGTTTCAGGTTTCTTGTCCAAGAGATGTGTCTGAAACTGACACAAAGCCACAGCCTTTATTTATGTTCTTCTTCAGTATAATTGGTCTGAACAATACATCTTTATCTTCCAGCTTTGTTAGGTATTGGTCCCTGAGAAGAAAACAGTCTTTCCTACTAAGAGAGCGAAGTGTTGTTTTATGTAGACTTTTATCGATCATAAATGAAAGGTCTCCTTTCTGCTGTGTTTGTTGAAAAGTCCTTTGAATAGAAAACCCATTTACCCCTTCGTAGACAGATGCTGCTTTGGTGAACAACCTAAAAATTTATGCAGTATTTATTTTCTCCTTAAACAATGTATTTCTGGTAAGCATGTTATATTTACAAAGTGACCTGCTTCTGTAAGCTTTCCTAACCAATGATTCAAGTAAATTGATCTAAAGACAGTTTTCATCAGAGGTTTAGAAAAAAGTTCTTCAATATTTCTATAAGTGATTAGAAGAATAAATGAGCTTCTATAGCATAGGTTGGCAAAAAATATATTGTAATTTTTATGTTTTTTAAGGCAAGTATGAGAATGAGGTGTTGTTTTTTTTCTTTTTTCTTTTTTTTTTTACTAGTTTCTTGTCAAATTAGTTTCCACATAACACCCAGTGCTCATCCCCACAAGTGCCCTCCTCCATGCCCATCCCTCCCTCCCCGCCACATCCATCAGTCCTCAGTTTTTGTCAGCATTCAAGAGTCTCTCATGGTTTGCCTCTCTCCCTTTCCCCCACCATTTCTGCCCTTCTTCTCCCCCGTGGTCCTCCGTCAAGTTCCTCCTAATCCTCCTATACGTGCAAACATATGATATCTGTCCTTCTCTGCCTGACTTATTTCGCTCAGCATAACACCCTCAAGGTCCATCCATGTTGCTACACATGGCCAGATTTCATTGTTTCTCATTGCCATGTAGTATTCCATCGTATAGATAAACCACATCTTCTTGATCCATTCGTCCGTTGATGGACACTTAGGCTCTTTCCATGTTTTAGCTATTGTGGAGAGTGCTGCTGTGAACATTGGGGTACATGTGCTCCTATGCCTCAGCATTTCTGTATCCCTTGGGTAAATGCCTAGCAGTGCTATTGCTGGGTCATAGGGGAGTTCTATTGTTAGTTTCCTGAGGAACCTCCACACTGTTTTCCAGAGGGGCTGTACCAGTTTACATTCCCACCAACAGTGTAGGAGGGTGCCCGTTTCTCCACATCCTCGCCAGCATCTCGAGTTCTCTGATTTGCTCATTTTAGCCACTCTGACTGGCGTGAGGTGGTATCTCAGTGTGGTTTTGATTTGTATTTCCCTGATGAGGAGGGATGCTGAGCATCGTTTCATGTGTCTGTTGGCCATCTGGATGTCCTCTTTGGAGAAGTG